AGGACGTCGATAACGGGTATTTCCCCCACGAACCTGTAAGACTACTGCCATTCACCCATGAAAAATTTCATTTCAAATCGAATTTTTCGAAAATTTTGGTCCGGGACCATCAACACGTTATGTTTTTGAATCACTTCAAATTTTGATCATTTACTTCCATAACCGTAATTACCACGTATATCAAAAATTATTAAAATCCGCCTACTATTACTGGGTGTTCTGATTTTCATGTCACTGATTCATCTTGAGAGAAAGAATCTTGGAATTTTTACATCTGTCAAATTAAAACCTTCTTGGGGGTCCCAACTATCTTTTTTAAAAATGTAAAACCTTCTTGGGGGCGCCAAATGTTTTTTTTTTAATTAAACCTTCTTGGGGGTCCCAACTGTATTTTTTTTTATGTAAAACCTTCTCGCGGGCGCCAAATGTTTTTTTTTTAATGTGAAACCTTCTCGGGGATCTCAACTCTCTTTTTTAAAAATGTAAAACTTTTTCGAGGACGCCAAATGTACTTTTTTTAGATTGTGAAATCTTCTCGTGAGCCCCAAATATCTTCTTTTTTTTAATGTAAAACGTTCTCGGTAGCTCCAAATGTCTTTTTTTATGTAAAACCTTCTCGGGGGTCCCAACTATCTTGTTTTAAAATATAAAACCGTCTCGGGAGCCCTAAATGTCTTTTTTAAAAATGTAAAACTTTCTCGAAGGCGTCAAATGTCTTTTTTTAAGACCTTCTCGGGGATCCCAACTGTCTTTTTTCAAAATGTAAAACCTTCTCGGGGGCGCCAAGTGTTTTTTTTTTAGTATGTGCAACCTTCTCGGGAGTCCCAACTGTGTTTTTTTTATGTAAAACCTTCTCGGGGGTCCCAACTGTCATTTTTAAAAATGTATAAAACCTTCTCGGGGGCCCCAAATGTATTTTTTTAATATAAAACCTTCTCGGGGTCCCAACGTTCTTTTTTAAGTAAAACCTTCTCGGAAGCCCTAAATCTCTTTTTTTTAATATAAAACCTTCTCGGGAGTCCCAACTGTAGTTTTTTTTTAATGTAAAACCTCGGGAGCTCCAAAATTTTTAATTTTTTTTTTAATGTGAAACCTTCTCGGAGATCTCAACTGTCTTTTTTAAAAATGTAAAACTTTTTCGAGGACGCCAAATGTCTTTTTTTTTTAATGTGAAATCTTCTCGTGAGCCCCAAATATCTTTTTTTTTTTTAATGTAAAACGTTCTCGGAAGCTCCAAATGTCTTTTTTTATGTAAAACCTTCTCGGGGGTCGCAACTATCTTGTTTTAAAATATAAAACCGTCTCCTGAGCCCTAAATGTCTTTTTTAAAAATGTAAAACTTTCTCGAGGACGTCAAATGTCTTTTTTTAAGAATGTGAGACCTTCTTGGGGATCCCAACTATCTTTTTTCAAAATGTAAAACCTTCTCATGGGCACCAAGTGTTTTTTTTAGTATGTGTAACCTTCTCGGGAGTCCCAACTGTGGTTTTTTATGTAAAACCTTCTCGGGGTTCCAACTGTCTTTTTTTACGTAAAACCTTCTCGGAAACCCCAAATGTCTTTTTTTATGTAAAACCTTCTCGGGGGTCCCAAGTATCTTGTTTTAAAATGTAAAACCTTCTCGCGAGCCCGAAATATCTTTTTTTTAATGTGAAACCTTCTTGGGGATCTCAACATTCTCAACTGTCTTTTTTTAAAAATGTCAGACCTTCTCGAGGGCGCCAAATGCCTTTTTTTTAGAATGTGAAATCTTCTCGGAGGTCACAACTGTCTTTGTAAAAATGTAAAACCATCTCGAGGGCGCCAAATGTACTTTTTCAGGACTGTGAAATCTTCTCGGTGGTCCCAACTGTCTTTTTTAAGAATGTATAACCTTCACAGGGGCACCAAATTTTTTTTTAGAATGTGAAATCTTCTCGGGGGTCCCAAATGTCATTTTTAAAAGTATAAAACCTTCTCGAGGGCGCCAATTGTCTTTTTAAGAATGTGAAACCTTCTCGGGGGTCCCAACTGTCTTTTTTGAAGAATGTGAAACCTTCTCGGGGGTCCCAACCATCTTGTTTTAAAATATAAAACCGTCTCGGGAGCCCCAATTGTCTTTTTTAAAAATGTAAAACTTTCTCGAAGGCGTCAAATGTCTTTTTTTAAGAATGTGAGACCTTCTCGGGGATCCCAACTGTCTTTTTTCAAAGTGTAAAACCTTCTCGGGGGCGCCAAGTGGTTTTTTTTTTAGTATGTGTAACCTTCTCGGGAGTCCCAACTGTCTCTTTTAAAAATGTAAACCTTCTTGGGAGCCCCAAACGTCTTTTTGTTAATGTGAAACCTTCTCGGGGGTCCCAACTGTCTTTTTTATAAAATGTATAAAACTTTCTCGGGAGCCCCAAATGTCTTTTTTTTATGTAAAACCTTCTCGGGGGTCCCAACTGTTTTTTTTTAAGAATATGAAATCTTCTCGGGGGTACCAACTGCCCTTTTTTAAGAATATTAAATTTTCGCGTGGCTTCCAACTGTTTTTTTTTTAAGAAGGTAAAACCAACCTTTTTTCCTAGTACCTTGTATATTTGTTTTTACTCCATAGAGGTTATCACAAAAAAGTAAAATTCCGCAAAATCAAATTTTATACTTTTTCACAGAAGCAGTATTTGTGCTTCGGAAGCGAGAGAATTTCTGTCGAAATAACTTTCGACCAGTTTTCTCTTGCAGATTTAATTTTTTTTTTTTTTTTTTGGTTTGAATTTGAACATTTATTCTTGACGGCGCGGCTTTGGAGTGCAGCGTTTCCAAGACCATCTTATTGTGATTTTGATCGTATATTGAATATGTGTTTTTACATGTGATGTGGGGTTGAATTCACGAGGAAATCTACGAATACATTTTGATTTAGTTAGTAACTCAAATTAACACATCACTTAATCTCATGTAAATCTTTTATCTAAAATTGTTAATAAAGTGTGGCTGCATTTAACATCACGTAAATTCTTGTTGGTTAAAATTCTTGATTGTGTGGCGTAATTAACTTAAGTAAGTAATTTTAATACTCATTCAGGTATCATTCTAAATTCGAGAGAAATAGAATTTGTACTTAATTGAAAAAACGGACAGAAGGTGAAAGCTGGACACACAGTTTCTAGATAAAATTTGTAGTTTTGTGATTGCCCAAATAGATATTGAAATTAAGACTTGATGGCTAGTTTGCAAAGATCTAGTAAAAATACGCGGCAGGTTTTTTGGGCATAGAAATGTCAGTATAGTAAAATCCCCAATGAAGGATAACAGATTATGATGAGGAATTTTGATTTCTCCACCGCCATAACTGAAATTGGCTGCCACACTTATCGTAATAATTTGATTTTTTATTGACGTTGATACCTAACATTTGATTTCATTGTTAAAAGCGCGAGAGGGTTTTTCAATTGTGAAATAAATCCACCTACTTAACAGTTGAGCTACATTTGACGAAACATTAACTTCTCTACTCTCTCTAACCTTGCATCTCTTATTTTATTACTTGTTATTGCTTCCTAAAGAAATAATATTTACATTAAAAACAGTTCTTTTCAGAATTTTATTTGTAGATTTGCGTATTCACTGAAAAATGCCATTTTCATTGGCCAGAAAGAGGGTAATGGTCTGTGGGAGGACTCGATTCAAGCCGATTTGGATGAATTCCGAGCATCGTCGACTATGTCCTTTTTTGCAATTCAGTAAAACGAAGTGTAACAAAGTTTCAAGAAATTTCGTCTCTGCAAAAAAAAAGGAAGGAAGTGACAAGTCGAAAGATAAGAGAACTCCAAAAAATATTGCTGATTTTCCTCCTAGGATCGAATATTGGCCATTTACCTACTGTGATGTAATTTATTTCATAAAATTAATTGATCTTGTACCAAATGTCCTCGTAATTTCACTCTTATTTTATTAAAAGTTTCCACCACTTTTGCTTTTACATTTGTCATTTTTTGACATCCGTGTGGTATAATCACCGACTTGCTAAATCCTTTCCAATGACGACTCGATTACAAATTAAGTTGCTGCGCCGCTTCCCGTCTCCCTTGCGTCTTGTGAGAAAAGTTTTTCCAAATTAAAGCCAACGAAAAAAATATCTTCAACCGTCAACGACACAGGGAAGGTTAAACAGTTTAGCTATTACGAGTATATCGTTGAAATGTGTATTGTTAGATATTTATTACAAAAGATATAATATCTGAATTGTCCATTTAAAAAATAAAAAAATAAACTTTTTGTAAAGAAATTCACACACCAATATAAATTGTAGTGTGCACTCAGTAAGGATTTTATGAAAGAACATCTTTGAACTAGGTACATATCCGTTAATTAAGAATATGCCATTTCCTTTGAAAGTCAGTCAACAGCTCATAATTTGCCTTTTATGCACTACGTAATGCAAATTGCATCATATTTTACTGTTACAGGGAGCCTTTGCTCTTGCCTTTTTAAGACTATTTTCTTTTCTAATTTAATACAGCAATTTTTTGTAAGTGCTAAAAAGAAAAAACAAAATTTGCAAACACGAGTCACTTGACACGACCCTACTTAGGATTGCGTCATTGAAATTGTCAAGTATCGTATTCATGTAATTTCTTATAAAGTCGCATGAAAGAAATTGTTCATACGTACATATACATAAAAATATGTTTTTAACGATATTTTTACAGTTGGCCGTTTGAGCAAAAAATTTTGGTTACGTATTCCACATTTCCAATAAATGAATTGATCGAGGGTCGGAAGTTGTACAAACTGTTGGAAACAATCCAGAAGACATAAATTTCGACTACTATTGTCAAATTTGCACCAAAGTCGTAAAAATCTTTCGTTATTATTTCGGTACTTTGACGATAAAAATTCAATAGCTGAAGAGAATAAAATAGGCCAGTCCACTAAAAGCCACATCGGAAGTGCTGCCAACCACCTAACCACATGCAACGCAACCCCCAAAATAACAACAAACCACTCTCACCCTTCCACACCACCAGAACACTCACCATTTCTCTTCGCTTCCATCCAACTTGATGTCCGGGATGTTGGGTGCTTTCTTGTTGAGGAACTGCGAGGTCAACTTGAGCAATTCCTGCAAGAATCAGGAATCAATACCCCTGCACACGGCCCCTCAAACCCCATTACTTCCGCGTACGTCCTCTCGAGCGCCGACCGCTTGATCGTGAAGCTCTTGATGTCCTCGAGCAGTTCGCACTCGTGGTGGTTCTTGAGGTTGAGTTTGTTGATCTGCTCCGCGTGGAGGTTTTTGAGGAATTTGGCGTAGTTTCCCTGGAATTGCGACAGGAGGGTTTATAGTGTGTGTATGTGAGTGTGGCGGCGGTGTGGGGCCCACCTTTCTCGGAGGCGGCTGCATGGTCTCCAAATATTCATTCACTCCACTCACAGCACCGCTCCCGACACTTCCGACTCGACGTCTATTGATTATGCCACCCACTGACCGACAGAGCTGGCGGCGGCGCGGTTCAAACACCGTGCGGGGCCGACGTCGGCCGGACGGAATGATCGAAATGAGACGATCATTGGCTTTTAATGAGCAGCTACTTTTGATAACGCTGATAAGGGAGATTGAGTGAAGGTTGACACTTGTATTATGACAGATTTGGCGTTTTCGGGGATTTTTTTATGATATGGCGCCTTATAGAAGAAGACTTTTAAAACTTGCAGATTAGAGGGTTGAGTTTCTAAAGATTTAACACTAAGTTGTGCCTCAACTACTCGAGGAGTTTAACGATTTGATTTTAGTCTGACCTACTTACGAAACCGTAATCCTAAAGTCACTTTACAACTTCTTATGCACTTAAGTACCAAAGTATCTACCAGGGAGCGAGTTCTTAAGTCGTTCGCTGGGATGTCGGAAGTTTGGCACGCTGACCACATTTAAACCAGCGAGCGCGTTCTACTAAAATTAAAAGCAAGAAATACTCTAGAGGTCCTCCCTTAAATGGTAAATTAATAGAGATACAAGGAAAATGTGTCGGCGTTTTAAATTAAGGGGGCGTTAAGCGGAAATCGATCAAATTTCTTAATATCCAACAGTTTATCAACTAAAATAGATATTGAATCCGTTGTGTTTCAATAATATGCTTTCATTTTATACTTTCTGATGGGTAGGTTATTTTGATACACGTCTCGTCCAATCTTTCAGTAGGATTTCACAGTTCGTAGAATGCAAAAATGTACATTTTCCCCAAAAGTATGCGTTGGAAATCTTTAGAAGAGGTAATCCCCGAAACTACTACATCGTTTAATCTAAAATGCTGATTATGTTTGGGATTATCTTTAAGACAATGAAACACTTCAAAAAAATGATGTCAATTCAAAATTTGTTAAGTACAATATCTTAAACTAAATAAAATTTGTATACAATAAAAAAAATTATATTGCGTGACTTTCAGTACGACTACATATTAAAATTTGGTTATTAGATCCTTTCCAAAAAATTATGACGTTTTCAAAAAATGTTGAAGTATCTAAATATATATTACATTTTTTTTAACCAAATAAGATAGTAAGAATTAACAATACTAAATCGGATTAAAATATTATTTAGAATCCGTCTGATTGCACTGCTCGTCACATAAATTTGTGTAAAAAAGCAAAACAAATTAAACATTAAAAACAAAATTTTGCGTCTATAGTTGTAATCAGAACAATTCAATTTTGTTATCATAATGTCCGCGGCTTTCGAGCAAAGGTGAACGATTCTATAACAGTGTTTGTAGTACATGTAATCTTGATATTATCGCTCTGACAGAAATCTGGATGATTAATGATATCTGCAATAGTGAGATTTTTTCTGAATAACTTCGTAATTTTTTGCTGTAATGATCGAAATTTCAATAATAGAGTGCTTTTACTAAAGCTTTGCCAAAAATTGATATTACTGGAATGAAAATATCGATCAGTGCATGTTTGTTTGGTGCATTTGTGTAGTATACACTCCCTAGGGCCACACTTTCCGACCTATTTTTTAATTTCCTTTCAGCACTCTTGATGAACCATATATTATTCATTTATGAAATTTCAGTACCTTGACTTTCACTAGCGACAAGACGAAGGACTATAGCTTCATTTAAAACGAGTTTCTATTATTTCATTCAGTATAAATATTGTAGAAAAGAGTTTAGTTAAAATATTGTGACGAAACAAACCCGGTATGGCGCATATGAGTTTTCTACAGTATACAGTGATGAGCGGTGGTGACTCTTCATCACCGACGGCGGCGCTCTATTGAAGAAAAGCCTGGAAGCGGAAGTCGCGATCGGCACTCTAGAACAACCTCGATCGCGGAATGTCTAATTTTCGAAAATATATATTTTTTTGGGGGGGAAATGGTAGAAAATGTCAAAAGTGCCAAAATAAGTTTTATCTTATCAAATACTAGCCCCGCCCACCCACCCTCAATTTTTTTAGGAAGTACATCTTTTGCCTTTATTTTCTTAAAGGGTATGTCATTTGCCAAAATCAGTTTTGTCTTAGCAAGTATTAACCCCGTCCACCCGCTCCATATTTTTTCAGAGGGTGTCATTTGACAACCACCTGCCCTTTATTTTCTAGAGGGTACATCATCTTAGCAAGTACCAACCCCGTCTATTCGCCTTTTATTTTCTTAGAAGGTATGTCATTTGCTAAAATCAGTCTTAGCTTTACAAGTATTAGCTCCGCCCACCCCACCTTTTCTCATTCTAAGGACTAATTTTATTTCTATTCAGTATAAAATCATTCATTTCCTTCAGATCGGATAAAATTAATCACTGAAAAGGAGGCAGGGCGGGTGGGCGGGGCTAATTATGTTCTTCTGTCGAGTGGGAGTGGAAACTAATAATAGAATCTAAGACGTAAAAAAGTGAAATAAAAGCGCTAATAGTTTTTTTTTTTGTTAGACTATTTGCTATAAAATTAATTTCTTATTTAATGCACTTGATCTGACCTAACGTGACCTGGCCGGTTCTGACTTCTCTATTGTCTTAAATGAACATATAAAAACCACAAAATATATTATTGAAATAATTGTATTTTATGAAACAAAAATTACAAAAATGTCTTTTTTTATCTATAAAAACATTATAGCCAGTCATTTTGATGGAACTGTAAAAATTGATATATTTCAATTAGCAATTTTGGAAAAACGGTAGGAATTTCCGAAGAAACGAAACCGAAAAGGACTTCTAAATTTCGAAATCTAGAAGAATGAATACATTTTTCGAAAATAGTTAAAAATGGTCGAAAATGTCAAAACTGCCAAAACCAATCTTAATTTATCAAATACTAGCCCCGCCCACCCACCCTCTCTTTTCTTGGAAGGTATGTAATTTGCCAAAATCGATCTTATTTTACCAGGTATTAACCCTGCCCACCCGCCCTCTCTTTTCTTGGAAGGTATGTAATTTGCCAAAATCGATCTTATTTTACCAGGTACTAACCCTGCCCACCCGCCCTATATTTTCTTAGGGATCTCATTTGGCAAAATCAAACTTATCTTATCAAATACTAGCCCCACCCACCCACCCTTTATGTTCTTAGAGAGTAGCTCGTTTGCTAAAATCAGTCTTATCTTGACAAGTACTCGTTCCCACCCACCTGCCCTTTATTTTCTTATAAGATATGTCATCTGGCAAAATCAGTCTTATCTTGGCAAGTATTAGCCCCTCCCACTCACCCTCTATTTTCTTAGAGAGTATGTCATTTGCTAAAATCAGTCTTATCTTAAAAGTACTAGGCCCGCCCACCCCACCTCTTCTCATTTTAACGACTAATTTTATTTTTGTTCAGTATAAAATCATCCATTTCCTTCAGATCGGATAAAATTAATCGCTGAAAACGGGACAGGACGGGTGGGCGGGGCTAATTATGTTCTTCTGTCCAGTCGGAATGAAAACTAATAATAGAATCTAAGATGTAAAAACAGTAAAATAAAAGCACTAATCGTTTTTTTTTCTTGTTATACTATCTGCTATAAAATTAATTTCTTATTTAATGCACCTGATCTGACTTAACGTGATCTGACCGGTTCTGACTTCTCTATTGTCTCAAATAAATAAATTTTCAACATTTCTGTGAATATACAAAAACCACAAAATACATTATTAAAATAATTGTATTTTATGAAACAAAAATTACAAAAATGTCTTTTTTTATCAACAAAAATTTTTTGACGGAATTGTAAAAATTGATATATTTCAATTAGCAATTTTGGAAAAACGGTAGGAATTTCCGAAGAAACGAAACCGAAAATGACTTCTGGATACCGAAATGTAGAAGAAAATGTATTCAACTAATTTTCGAAAATAATATTCGAAAATGTCAAAACTACCAAAATCAATCTTTTTTATCAAATACTAGCCCCGCCCACCCGCCCTCTATTTTCTTTGAAAGTATATCATTTGCCAAAATCGGTCTTATCTTAGCAACTACTAGCCCCGCCCAAAAATTACTATATTTCAATTAGCGATTTTGGAAAAGCGGTAGGAATTTCCGAACAAACGAAGCCGAAAATGACTTCTGGAAATCTAGAAGAAAATGTATTCAACAAATTTTGGAAAATAAGTGGTGTGTTAGTTTGGGAGCCCATGGAGATTTTTTTTTGTAAATTATTTAAACAATTTTGGGGGACTTTGGTGTTTATTTTTTAGAAAAATTTAAAACAATCTTGAAGTTCTAGGTATTCCTGTTTGGAAAGAATTTGAAAGTGCTTTGGAGCCTCCAGTGTTTTTATTTATAATAATTTAATTAAATTTCTCCCGCCCATCCTCTTTTTTATTAGAGAAAATGTCATTTGCCAAAATTAGTCTTAACAGGTACTAGCCCCACCCACCCACCCTCTCTTTTCTTAGAGGGTATCTCATTTGCCAAAATCACTCTTATCTTAGTAAGTACCAGCCCCGCCCACCCACCCTCTCTTTTCTTGGAAGGTATGTAATTTGCCAAGATCGATCTTATCTTAGCAGGTACTAACCCTGCCCACCTGCCTTATATTTTCTTAGGTATCTCATTTAGCAAAATCAGTCTTATCTTATCAAATACTAGAACCACCCACCCACCCTTTATTTTCTTAGAGAGTATGTCATTTGCCACAATCGGTCTTATCTTAGCAGATAACGAAAGCCGAAAATGACTTCTAGATTCGAAATCTAGAAGAAAATGTATTCAACAAATTTTGGAAAATAGTTGGTGTGTTATTTTGGGAGCCCATGGAGATTTTTTTTTTGTAAATTATTTAAACAATTTTGGGGGACTTTGGTGTTCTATTTTTTAGAAAAATTTAAAACAATCTTGAAGTTCTAGATATTCCTGTTTGGAAAGAATTTGAAAGTGCTTTGGAGCCTCTAGGGTTTTTATTTATAATAATTTAATTAAATTTCTCCCGCCCACCCTCTTTTTTTTTAGAGAAAATGTCATTTGCCAAAATGAGTCTTAACAGGTACTAGTCCCACCCACCCACCCTCTCTTTTCTTAGAGGGTATCTCATTTGCCAAAATCACTC